TGCTCCCCTAATAGACATTGCACAAATGCATGACTTTAACAGGGACTTATTAATTTATAGTTTAGGGCTAGAAATCTGAGTTCAAAGTGCTTGCTTTAGGGGCTGGGTGAAAGCCCCTCAACGGTGGGCTTCAGTTCTACCTCCTGTTCCAGGCCCACTAGAACTGGAGGATTTTTCTGATTCATGCAGCTATTGGCTGTAAAGGCTGAGGAACCCAAGATAGCCAAGTAAACTGTCACAGTCCCAAGCTTAGCAAGCAACACAACAGGCTACTAATTCAAATCCAGAAACAGTCCCAAGATTGGCAGACAACATTGCAGGACACAAATGACTTGGCCAAATGCAGGATCCAGATGTGCCAAGAAGCTAGTGACCTTTCTCAAAGCTTCTTCTCATATACTGGAAGCAGGCCACATCCTTAAAGCAGCTACTCAACTGCTCACAGCAATTTCTACCATTGAACTGATTACCAGTCTTATCATGGGGAATAACTACAACCAGCTGCCCAGCTACTCAAAACCACAGGCCACCCAAGTGGACGCATAACTTTCACTACCATAACCGCAAGTAAAATTTCCCTGAAGATAACTGTAAAATGGTTGAAGTAATATATTGACAGGAAGCTGCTAGAAATTCAAGCTCTATTCAGAAGAGGATATGGAAAAAGGGATATCACTGCTGATGTCAGATGAATCTTGGCTGAAAGCAAAGAATATTAGAAATGGTTACCTGTGTTTTATTGACTAGGCAAAGGAATTCAATTGTGTGGATCATAATAAATTATGGACACCGTGGTGAAGAACGGGATTTCTAGGACATTTAATTGCACTCACAAGGAAATTTTATATAGACCAAGAGGCAGTACTTTGACAGAGTAAGAGGATACTATGTGGTTTAAAATTAGGAAGTATGTGCATCAAGGTTGCATCTTTTCACCATACTTATTCAATCTGTATGCTGAGCAAATAATCTGAGAAGTGGGACTACATGAAGAAGAATGTGGCATCAAGACTGGAAGAAGGCTTATTGAAAACTTGTGATATCCAGATGACACGATCTTGGTTGCTGAAAGTGAAGATGACTTGAAACACTGATGAAGAACAAAGACTATAGCCTTCAGTATAGATTACATATCAACACAACATAACAACATAAAGAAAACAAAAATCCTCACAACTAGACCAATAAGCAGTATCAGAACAAATGGAGGAAAGATTGAAGTTGTCAGGGATTTCATTTTACTTGTATCCACAATCAACACCTATGGAAGCAGGAGTAAACAAATCAGATGTTTGACTGTTCTGGGAAAATCTGTTGCAAAGGACCTCTTTAAAGTGTTAAAGAGCAAATATGTCACTTTGAAGATTAAGGTGCACCTAACTCAAACCAGCCACTCCTCGGAAGGAAGGCTGGGCAATCTACTTCCATAGTGATACTGCCTCGGCAACCCAAGGAGGGGTCGCTATGAGTCGGGTCCGACTCAACGGCACATAACAACAACAACAACAACTCAAACCACGGTATTTTCAATTGCCTCATATGCATGTGGAAATTGGACAATGAATAAGGAAGAGTGAAGAAGAGTTGATGCCTTTGAATTGTGTTTTTGAAGAATACTGAAAATACCATGGACTGCCAGAAGAACAGTTAAATCTGTCCTGGAAGAAGTGCAGCTGGAATGCTTCTTAGAAGCGAGAATGCCCAGACTTCATCTCACATACTTTGATCGTGTTAGAACAGTCTTTGGAGAAGGAAATTATGTTTGGTAAAGTCGAGGGTTGGCGAAAAAGGGAAAGACCTTCAAGAAGATGAACAGACACAATGGCTTCAGAGATGCACTCAAATATTGTGAGGATGGCATGTGACTGGGCAGTGTTCATTCTGTTGTATATATAGAGTTGTTATGAGTTGGAGCTGACTCAACTGCACGTAAAAACAACAGCAGGAAGAGAGAAACAACTCATAAATTGTACTTTATCAAAACTGTAAACATTTCTGCTTCAAAGGACACTATTAAGAAAGTGAAAAGACAATACATAGAACTAGAGAAAATATCTGTACATCATATATTTCATAAGAGCCCTATATCCTGAACATACAAACAACTCTTAAAGGCCCCCCCAAAAGGCAAATAACTCAATTTTAATAGGCAAATGATTTGAATAGAGAGTTCACCAACAAATATACGTAAATGGCCAATAAACACCTAAGAAGATGTGCAACATCATCATCATTGTTGGTGTTGATAGGTGCTGTTGAGTCAGCTCCGACTCATAAGGACCCTATGTACAACTGAACAAAACACTGCTTAGTGGGGTGCCATCCTAACAATCCTTGCTATACTTAAGCCCATTGTTGCAGCTACAGTGTCAGTCCGTGTTGTTAACAAGGGTCTTCCCCTTTTCTCGCTGACCCTCCACTTTACCAAGCATGATATACAAGCAACATCATTAGGGAAATACTAATCAAAACCACTGGATGGCTATAATTAAAAAGGCAGACAATAACAAGTGTTGGAAATAATGTAGAGCAACTGAAATCTTCATACATTGCTGGTAGGAATGTAAAATGGTATAGCACTTTGTGAAACTCTTTGGCAGTTCCTCAAAATGTTAAACACAAGGTTACCGTATGACCAAGCAATTCTATTCCTAGGCATATATCCAAAAGAAATAAAAACATATACCCATATAAAAACTTTGAAGCAAATGTTCATAGCAGCATTATCCATAATAGCCAAAAAAAAAATAAAAATAATCCAAATGTCCATTAACTGATGAACGGATAAATGAAATGTAGTATAGCCAGCCATACAATGGAGTATTATTATTCAGCTATAAGAAGCAATGAAGTACTGATACATGCTCCAATATTGATGGACTTTGAAATCATACTATGGGAAAGAAGTCAGTCACAAAAGGCATAATTCCATTTACATAAAATGTCTAGTGTAAGCAAATCTATTAAGACATAAATCAGACTAGTGTTTGAAAGGGGCTAGAGGGAGTGCTAATGAGGAATGACTTCTAATGAGGTATGGTGTATCTTTTCGGGGTGATGAAAATATTCTGGAATAGTGGTGAGGTTGCACAACTTGATATACAAAAAACAAACTGCATTTTATACTTTGCAAGGGTGAAAGTCATGGTATGTAAAATATACCTCAATTAAAATGATACAGCACATGCTGCAATGTCAGAAAGATCTGTTCTTCAATTTTGGTTTTACTATTCACCAGCTGTTTAACATTTCTGGGTTTTGCTTTCATGCTCATATTAAAAAAACAGGAATAAGCATACTTTCCTTGTTGTTGTTATGTGCCGTCGAGTCGGCCCCGACTCATAGCGACCCCTCCTTGGGTTTCCGAGGCATTATCACTACGGAAGTAGGATTGCCCAACCATACTTTCCTTAGATGTTCTTAAAATGATTAAATGACATATTTATATTAAAAATTCTTGTTTATTTTCATGTATACACTAAGTATTCAGTTATTACTAATTCTCATATCCCATTAATTTCACTGTTTTTCAAACTCCCAACTGTGCCTTATCTTGTTAATTTCTATGCTTATTCACCTTTCCATTTCATTATATGCCATTACAATTACTTACAAACTTTTCATCTGCCAAATGGTATCTCTATTAAGAAGATGAGAATTCTTAGTTCTCTGCAATGACTAGGATATATTTCAAAAATTTCAAAGAAGAAAATTATGAAGTAAGTTTTCATTTAGAATTGTTGAATTTCAAAGCTTTGAGTTCTCATACCAAAATCCATTACATGGTAATAATATTTCAGCTCTAATACTCTAGTGTTCAAGAAGTTATTTTCTCCCAGGAAACCTATTCTACTTTTGGACAATAGTAATGTCAGTATTTATTTACTAGTGTAGTTTCTTACTCTTGTCATATGTATCAGCATGTTTTAGAAATGTCTTATAATCCTTCACATATATATTCATATATATGTTTTCTCTTTAGGAGCTCTGGTAGCGTGGTGCCTAAGGCACTTGACTGCTAACCAGAAGGCTGGTGGTTCAAACCCACCAGCCACTTCTTGGAATGAAGGTTGGGCAATCTACTTCTGTAGTGATACCGCCTCAGAAACCCAAGGAGCGGTTGCTATGAGTTGAGTTTGACTCAATGGCACATAACAACAACAACAACATGTTTTCTGTTTACTATTTATATTTCTGTAGGCAGAAAATTAATTATTAAAATTTCTTTGTATTTAATCAAAAGCAAAGTTATGCTTATATATGTCTTTAATAAATATAATTTGCTAGTGGTGGGAAAATATGAAAATATATATATGAACTCAAATATTTTGAAACATGAAAAAATACAGGAAGTACCAAGGATGAGTTACTATAAAACACCTACCTGTAAAAATACCTAATTGCAAAAATCTATTGTTTAACTTTCACACATATTAAATGAAATTTGAAGACATTTTATTATCATCAGAATATTTATTTTTAAAAGTTAAAGCCTATCTTACAAATTTAGTGTGCCAAAAACAATATTAATTGAATCCAATTTCAGGGAAACAAAAGAATTAAGATATTTGTGGTAATACTGGAAAGTTTGAAATATATAAAGTTATTATAACCGAGCATTTGGTTGGCCATATGTTAAAAGTTATTGTGTTTAGTAAGAATGACAATGATGCAAAATCTGACTGCATAGTTTTGCAAAGTGCTATTTCTTTCATCAACCAACAAAAAATAAGTGTATATTCCTACTCTATTAACAAACAATTGAATAAAAGATAGACTTGCTACTTGGACATGTAAAAAAAAAAATCTCCCCATTTATATTACCAAATACACACAAAGGTTTTCGGAAATATTTGCATGAATACAATCATATGTTGCAAACAGTTACATTTAAAATGACAAATTATAATATTGCTCAGCAGCGATAATGACACTAGGGTATATTAAATTCAACTTCCATCTTCTTTTACAGTTTGTAAACTAAATCAGCAAATACATACCAGATCTGTCTTTGGAGGATCTGGACACTCAGAGGAGAAATAAGGTGCCGAACTTCTGACTCCACTATCAGGAGCTGACTTTGGAGGCTGTGCGTGTTGTCTGTAAGTAGCACTTTTAGGAGTCCAACAAAACAGATTGACTGATTCTCGCACGCAGCGTTCAATGTCAATTTCTAATAGGAAATTAAAAAATATATATATATATAAATTAGGCTTGCTATGTTTATGTAAAAAATACAATCTTTCCTAAATGCATAAATCCAAAAACAATATGGTTAATTAGAAAAGATGTCAGTAAGAGAGTAACAAAGATTTTAACCATCGTGTTTCTGATTTGAATGATAGGGGATATTTGGTATTATTATCTGCATATATGTAGATATATATGCATATGTTTTAATGTATGTGTTTTATTATCTACATATATGTGTACTAGTACTACTATTCACTGCCACCGAGTCGTTTCCTACTCATAGCGACCCCTCCTTGGGTTTCCAAGGCAGTATCTCTAGGGAAGTAGATTGCCCAGTCTGAGGTGTGGCTAGTGGGTTTGAACCACCAGCCTTCTGTTTAGCAGTCAAATGCTTTAGGCACTATGCCACCAGAGCTCCCCACGTGTATGTGTGTGTATATACATAAAGCAAAAAAAAAAAAAAACAAAACTCACTGCCATCGAGTTGATTCTGACTCACAGTGACCCCCTTTGGATTTCTGAGACTTCCATTAATCTTTACGGAAGTAGACTGTCCAGTTTCCTTTTGCAGAATGGCTGGTAGGTTTGAACTGCCAACCTTCTGGTTAGAAATCAAATGCCTTAGGCATAGTGCCTGTGTGTGTGTGTGTGTGTGTATTTTAGTACATTATTATTTAAATATCATGGAATGCCACACATCTCCTTATTTAAGAATCTACCCTACTTTGATGTTATTTCTACTTTTTCAAAATAAAATAGAGGTTGGGGTACTAGAATTTAGAAATTAACAGGTAAAAGATTCAGATGTTGATTGAGCCATCAAGACATTTAATAAATGTACTTAATGTTTCATTTCTATTTGCTATAGAAGTTATAAAATAATCAGGGTAAAATTAAATTTTCAATTCAGTATTTTTTCCTTTCTTTTGTAATTCTTTTCATGAAGTGTATGCCTTAAATGAGGTTTCATACAGAGAGAGATTAAATATGTTCGATTCAAATGAAAAAGTTTCACAGAAAATTTCCTTTTGTTTCTCAGATATGAAATTTAAGCATCTTTGATGCAGAGATGATATACATTGTTGTTGTTGTTGTTAAGTGCCGTCGAGTCGTTTCCAACTCATAGCGACCCCATGCACAGCAGAACGAAACACTGCCCGATCCCGC